TGTTACCAAACGCTGTCAGCTCTACCTTCAAAAAAGATCCTAAATCCAACCATTTCTCAATACCTTCCATCCTGGCCCCCCGTGGTCCTCCCCAGCTGCCATCATCTCTTTCCCAGATTATTGCAAGTGTCCTATCGGGTCTCCCTGTTTCTGTCCTCATCCACCTACACTCTGTTTTCCACAGAGTGGCCAGTGTGACCTTTTAAGAAAATGTAAATCAGGGCAGTTCCTTCCTCCTCTCCAAACCCTGTAGTGCCTCCTGCCTCACTCAGAGCGGGAGCCACGTTTCCTTGTGGTGACCTACAAGGCTCTGACTCCCTGGTCCCAGCAGTCCCTTGACATCACTTACCCTCTGCCCTTTTGCAGCCCCTCTTATGCCAGGCACACTCCCATCTTAGAACCTTAATGCCTGTTGTCCCCGCTACAGAAGACCTCTTACAAACCAGATGCCCGGCTGGTTTCTTCCATTGTTCTCATCCTCTCCACGAAGGCTTCCATGACAGCTGTCGTTGAGAATTGCCAAGGCAGTTTCAGTGAATCTTGGGAGCACTCGGAATTCAGACAAGCTATGCTCACGGTTTTGGTTTATTACGGAGAAATAAAAGGGCGCATACAGCGGGGTCCAGGAGAGACGGACCAGGCACACAGGCTTCCAGCTGTCTCTCCCAGTGGGGTTATACAGATGAGGCTGACTTTCCCCAGCAACAGTGCGTGACGACATGTACAGAGCATTGCTCACCAGTGAAATTCACCTGCGCCTTTGTATGTAGGTTTTTTATTGGCGGCAGGCAGTCAAATAAATAGGCAGTTGGCTGTCTTCCTGCCTGGCTGATCTTATTCTCCATCCCTTCCAGAGGTCAAATTGATACATGCCCTAAATCCACACCATAAATCACCTCATTAGGATAGACTCTGGCATGACCCAAGGCCCCAGGTAAACAAAGACACTGTTATCAGACAGAATATTCCAAGGGATTAGAAGTTTCCTCCCAGAAGCCAGCAAGGGCCAAATCTTTCTTTGTAATAGACAGCGCACGCCTGCTGAGTTAACCCGTCATTGTACAACCACCCACTTAAAATTGTAACCCTCCTCTGACATTCTCTATCCCCTTCTGCTCTACTTTGCTCCAAGGCACTCCTACCCCCATCTGTCATACTTTGCTTTATTCGTTTGTTTCCTGTCTGACTCTCTGCTAGAAGTGAATTCCCTGAGCGCAGAGGTGTTTATCTGTTTTGTTCCTAGAAGAGTATTTGCCCCATAATGGAATTCACTCATGGAATGTTTGCTGAATGGATGAAGGAACTACAGGCATTGTTGAGGGTGTGGGGAGATAGGAATCCTTTTCTGAACAAAAGCTTGCCTGTATTTGGCAAAAGTGGTTAAGAATAGGCCTTTGCATACCCCCAAACAGTCCCTGGTGCATTGCCTAGGGAATGGAGGAAACCTGGCTGTCCACCATTGGAGGACTGGGTCATTAAACAGATGTATACTGCGGAGTCATGCTTCTCAAATTTTAATATCCATTGAGTCCGTTCCCCCTCCCACCACCCAATCCTGTGAAAATGCAGTTTCTGGTTCAGTCGGCCCAGGGCAGGTCCAAGACTGAATCCTAGTAAGTCCCAGGTGACCCCCAGGCTGCTGTAGCCTGGACCACACTGTGAGAAGCGAAGGCACGGACAGAGTGGTGCTACCCCGCACAACTTCCTGTGATGATGCAAACATCCTATTGTTCTTGTGCTGCCCAGGTGTGGCAGCCGCCTGCCCCGGGGCTCCGGAGCACCAGCCCTGTGGTTGAATGGGACTAGGACTGAAATTTCATCTTGTATTCGATTTAGCGGACTCTAATTTAAAAGTTAGCTGACCACAGGGGCGAGGGGCTGCCATATTGGACAGCAGCACAGGTGAGAAGTCAGAACAGTACACTGGATGGGCAAAGTGCAGCGCCGATGACGGACAGCGTTCGGTGGAGTTGTTGCCGGGCAGCTGCGCCTGCGAGGACTCACTGTGCACCAGGGGAAACCTTCACCTGCAGCGGAGAGGGTCCTCGGCTCTGATCCAGAAAGAATTCTCAGCAAGGTGAAGAGTGTAGCGAAGGGAGGAATGCATCAGAGCGAGGGGAGTGGGGGTAGCCGCGGCCTTGCAGGCGGCTGAGGGCAGGACGGTGCAGAGGGAGGAGGCGGGCGCTTGCTGCGCTCTGGCACAGGGAAGCCTCCCTCGCCCGCCCCTGCAGCCGGGGTGACCTGGTCTTGTGTCCGCTTGGATCTGCACAGCGTGGGGGCTAGCCCCCACCACCCCAGGATTTGGGGGAGGCACGGAGCACGGGATGGAGTGAGATTATATTCTGAAAGCATCCCGAAGCAGGGAGATGTTCAGGCAGGCTCCTGGCAGCTGCAGTGTCGTCTGTCCGGGTCACCCAGGCGACGGGGGACTCACAGGCCCAAATCTGAGCTCTCAGCCGCCCCTCCCTACTTACCAGGAGTAAAGCAGAGAGAAGTGAAGACTTGAAATAAAACTAAATAGCAAAGGAAGAAAGACGCTCACCCCTGGAAAGGCGCAGAGGACAAAACGCAATTAAGTTGAGCAGTGAGAAAGCTTTATTTAAGGTCACGCACTTCAAGAGAGAAAAAGTGTGAGCATCCTCAGAGAGTAGGCTCACTGACAGGTTGGGGGTTTTCTCTTCTAAGCGTTTTTCAGGAACGTGACAAAGGGCCAGGGGTGTGGACTTCTCAAATGGTCTCAAGATGCTTATCTCTGGTCTCCACTCCTCTATCTGCCAGTCCTCCAGCTAGTTCAGCAAAATAAACTTAACACAAGAAAGTTATTGATCTGGCTGCTCCCCAGGAGAGCGGCCTCCCTCCGGGAGCATGTCAATCAACACTGCGTGCCCTGCCCCCAAGGTGGGCTGAGTTATTGTCTGTTCGCTCAAGAGTATGTTAGGACTCTTACTTCCTAACTTCCTGGCTTTTAAAATAGAATCTTAGCCTTAAGATGGAATCTCTCCTGTCATACTGTTTATGGAGCTTGTTTGGAAAATTAATCATGATGCTTGTCTCAGGTCCTGCCCTGTATCAGAATGAGCTCACATACTTAATACCGGCCGGACTTCTCACGCACACCCACCTTCCTTCCTACCCTGTTTCATCAAATCAAAAGCGCCGTTGATTCTATTTGCCCTGTTATTCCACATACCACTAAGGAAGAGAGCTGTCTGCTCAGCGATGACATAATGCTAAGGCACTATCAGTTGTAAGATGCCTCCCAATTTCAGAGATGATAAAAATGTGAGAGGAATGTGCATATGGGGAGCAATAAAAATACAGTCAGGACTCAATCATCACAGCCAGGAAATCAGATTAAAGTAATCTTTGATCTAAACTACTTTCACTTAGCTTTATAGAAGGATGCAGGCCAAGAATTAGGGTATGGGCTGTTTCTTCCTGCCCTCAGGGAGGCTACCTGAGTACCCATTGGCTTTTCTTTCTTCGCTCAGTGGCTGCCACATCCCAAGAGCCTCGTGCGGGTCTGTATCACCTCGACCGGAAGTGCAGCCTCTGTTTCCCAGCAGCCTTTGGAGCCGCTGTTGCCCCCCAGGTCCCACACCTGCAGCCCCGAACTCTCCCTTCCCCGTGCTGTCCCCCACAGCACAAGTGAACCCCTGTAGGCCACTTGGGTTCCCTCTCTGAAGTCTGCAGCACCAGAGCACAGAACTACAATCATCAGGTCATTCCTGGGCAGACCTATGCCCGAGTGCACGGTCAGGGCTTAACAAAGCTCAGAGGGGGGAAAAACGCGACAGAACCTTGATCTGTAGTGTCTGCCGATTTCTTTGGTATAAATACTCTCCTTCAGGCTGATATCAACCTACCAATGCAACATCACCGGACACGAAGTCTGACAGATGCACTGAAGCTCACGTCTATGACATAAAGTAGTGGACGTAAATAACTCCAAAGCATAGATACCAATAAAAAAATAATGAGGAATTGGTGAGTTTTGAGTACTTATTGACCTTATTTTTAATACACTTTTTAGATTAGAAATTTTTGCAGTTTAACTTTTAACAATGGCTGTGTTTAACAACAGGCTCTCAAAATTCCTGAACATTTGCCAATAGGTACTCGTGGGCTGGTATGAGCTGACCCTGGCACACACTGCGCCTGCTGCTCAGCCCAAGTTTATTGACCTTTTACTCATAGGGACACTTTACTTTACTTTTAAATTATATTTATTGTCTCTCGTCTGTCACCTCCTGGTAGGATGTGACCTCTGGGGGGAAGCATTTAGATTTGTCTGGCTCATTCACAGCTCTACTTTTCGCACCTAGAACAATGCCTGGCACATAGTAGGTGCCCAATAAATAGACCAATGCCTGCAGGGTGCACAGTAGGTGCCCGAGAAATAGTCATTGATGAATGAAAGTAGAAAGAGAATGAGATTCACGGCACACTGGTTTCATGTAAGTTAGAAGCAACACTTTTGCAGAAATGCATGTTTTCCAAGGATGCATGGGATCCCATCCGAGGCCACTTGTGCTGGTGCCTGCAGGGATGGAGGGGGCTGGAGCCAGGGATGACTGGGTGGAAATCAATCAATAAAATGATTTATGAGCACAGTTTGCCCGGACTTGAACTCCAGAGTGTGACTGACTCAGCTCTCCTGCCCTGAGATCTGATTAGGGGAAAGGACCTCTCCATTTGCATAGGGTTTTCCTGGAAAGAAGGTAATTCTCTGCCCCTCCTGCCCTGGACTTCAGCCATCCTTGCCCACAGGACTCAGAGGCGCAGACCTGCCCAGGGTCAGAGCGGGGCTGGGTGTTTTCTTTTGCCACATCAGATACAGTGGGTGGGGGGCAGCCCCCAGGGAACAACATCAATGGGCACCCACCCTGAGCTCCCACTGAACACAATGGGGCCACTGTGTGCATACCGGGTGGATGAATTAAATGAACGGATGAATGGAATTTAGGATTGTTCAATTTTTATTATTGTTTGTCTGGTTTCTGAACACTGTCTTCTCTGGAATATGGGGCCAGGCTGGTGCCTTCAAGCCCTTCCCGCCTGTGCCTAAGGGGTCCTGAGTGAGGAGGGGATGCTGTGGGGGCGGGGAGAGAAGGCTGCAGCCGCTACCCGGAGAAAGGAGTTGGGAGCCAGGGTCAGGACTGGGATGCTGGGGGCCTGGACCCCCGGGTCTGGAGCAGAGAGAACAGGTCTGGGGATGCATGCGGGCAGCTGGTGCTGGGCCCCACTGGCCATCACTGGTTCCGAATGACTTGCTCTATCCAGGGTTGATACTTGCACAGGTTGGTGTAGACCCCTGGGTAGCCACGCTGAGCACAGCGCTCCATCCCCCAGGACACCAGGCCCTGGAGCTGTCCATTGCACACCAGGGGTCCCCCGGAGTCACCCTGAGGGGGAGAGACAGAGATGGAGATGCCTGTGCGCAGAGGCCAGAGCCACGGGCACGGAGGACCCCAGAGGCAGAGATGGGGATGGAGGTGGGCTGAGACCTCTAACAGGGGCTCTGGCGATCACAGCCCCTGGGGAGCTGGGGTCCTTTCCATCCCTGTCCACCTGCTCTGCTGTCTCTGTCCCTGGGTCTCACTGGGCCCCCCTTTGTCTTAGCTCTATCTCTAGAAAACTGTGCGCCTCTTTATATGGCCTGTCCCTGGAGTCAGTTCTTGGGGCTGCATCAAGATCTGAGCAGGGATTTCAAGGGGCCGGGAGGGGGGCCTAACGGCAGCGGTAGCAGGGAGCAGAGCCGCGAGCAGAGTCAGTGCCCTTCCTGCCGACTGCCTCATCTAATTCTACCGACTGCTCCAAGAGGTGCTGCCCCATTTTACAGGTGAGTAAAGTGAGGCACAGAGGGCTAGGTCCTTTACCCAGGGGAGGGCGGCCATTACAGTCTTTCTCCATCTCTGGGGCCTCCACTACCTTTCCTGCTCCTGAGGCCCTTTTGTGCCTAAGTCCCCACCCCCCACCCCCCTCCTCCAGCGCTCAGCCTGGACCTCACCTGACAGGAGTCCCTTCCGCCTTCCGGGACCCCTGCACAGATCATGCCGTCTGTGATGGCTCTGGAATACGCCCGCCGGCACTCCTGGTCCGAGGAGATGTTGATGTTCACGCACTGCAGGGAGTTGGGGTAACTGGCTGGGGGAACACTGAGGGGTTACAACTGGGGTCTGCCCTCCGGCAGGACCCAGGAGCCCTGGCCCCCTGCCCCCTCCCCTCCAGAGAGCAGGCGTGGAGTCCTCACCAGCGGGGCTCGACGTGGTGCCCCAGCCCGACACGCGGCAGGAGGTCCCTGGGCTGGCGCAGGACCTGGCCACGGCGATGGGCCTCACTGACCTCCCCAGCCGGGCCGGCCGCTCCAGCTGCAGCAGCATCAGGTCGTTATTGTTGGTCTGGGCGTTGTACTGGGGGTGTGGCACCTGGCGAACCACACGCAGCATCTGCTGGGTGGCCTCCCAAGTCCTCAGGTTGTGCTTGCCCAGGATTATGTGAAGGATCCTGCCCCATGACCCCCAAGAGTGGCACTGCTCAGTGGTGAGTGATCCCCAAGTATAACCGGCTTCCCTCTAAGTGCAGTGGGGCATCTGCTGCCCTCCTGTGCCCCCTCCTGTGGCCGGGGCATGCTCTCCTGGCCTCCCCTTCCTCCCTTGAGCTGGGCTCTGGCTTCCGGCTTGGGGGTAAGGTGATGGTTGGCAGTTCCTGGCTCAGTGCTGCGTCCTAGCTGAGACTCCTGACTATGGCTCTAGGCTCCGAATCAGAACTGACATGCTGAGTAGGCTCTGGGGAGGCTCCATCACAGTTCTAGCCTGGCCTCTGTGTCCTAGGCATTTTGGTCTTTTCAGTCCAAGCTAGGATCTGGGCTCTCCAGGTTGAGTTCGGTTTGTGGCCTGCTTTCTTGGTACTGGTGTGAGCTTTCAGCGTTAGCATAGGCTCAGTTCTGTACGGAGCAATGGGCTCTGGATTCCGGATGCCGACATGAACTCCTGTTTCTAGGTTGAGTTCTGGGTTTTTGCTTAAGCTCTGGTTTACGACCTGGATTTTAGACAATGTTTTGAGCTCTGCGCTCCAGTTGGGCTTAGGGTTCTAAACATTGCTCTGAATTCTTGATTATGAGCCAGGTTCCGCTTCAGATTGAATTATACATTATAGTCTGGGCTCTTTGTTCTAGAATCTGATCTGAGCCCTTGACCTCACGTTGGGCTCTGGGTTCTAGATGGAGCCCCAGGTTGCAGCTGGGATCCCAGTTTCTGGATGCTGGTTTGCATTCTGGCCTTTATGTTCTAGACTCTAGGCTGAGTTCTGGGCTCTAGGTCCTAAATTGAGCTTTAGTTTCTGCATTAAGCCTAGTATATAGCCACTAGGTGAGCTCGTCTGCAGTTCGGGCTCTAGGTTTAGGTCTAGAATCTTGGAGGGGCTCTGAGTTCTGTATGAGGCTTCAAATTATGGTCTGCATTTTGGGAGCTAGGCATGGAGTTGAGGTCTGGGTTCTAGGCTGCTCAAAGAAGAGCTGTTAACTAGACTCTGAATTAAACCTTGGGTCTAGAATGAGTTTCAGGTTCTGTCTGTCTATACTCTGAGCTGTCTCTCTATGACACTCCTCTGGCTGTAAGCAGGATTTGGATTTATGCCCAGACTGCAGAATCTCAATCAGACTGTGGACTCTAGGCAGCGTTCTGAGAGGAGTCCAAGTTTCTGAAGGTAGATTGTGCCCTAAATTCAACCACCAATCAGGAATGGGCTCCTAATATTAGTCTCTCTGTAGAGCTGGGACTCTGGGTGGATGACCAGATCATGCACTAGATCTTAGGCTCTGTGTGTGGCTCTAAACTGGCATTTGGGTTCTAAATTATCAATCTGCTTTCAGAATCTAAACTGAATTCAAGATTTATGCCTGGATTCCATAGGCTGATCTGTTTCTGTGGTTCTAGGCTCTTATCTGGACCCTCAACTAGAACCCAGCTACTACACTAGGCTCAACACCGGCCTCTGGGTTCTTAGCTGAGCTCTGGGGCTCTAGACTCTGGAACTCACTTGGCACAAGGATGGGGGGGTCACTCACGGGCGTGCGCAGTGAGCCGCAGTGATGGCCCACCGGTCTGACAGCAGGGCCCCTCCACAGATGAAACGACGAAAGGGCCCTGCCATGAGGGCCGCCTGCCACGGCTGGGAGTTCGGGGTGCAGGTGTAACCACCAATTATCTTGTTCTCATCCTCTTGGCTCTGGGCCATGGCTGGGAACAGGCAGGGGTGGGGTAGGGCAAGCAGATGAGCAAATGCTCTCCAACTCTCTAGGCTGTTTGGGACCCACAGGTCGCCCTTTTCTTTGCCTAACCCCTAATCCCCCTCCCTCTCTCTGCCCCACCCAATATGAGGCATGCCCGTATTGCTCCCATTACTGCCCCAAGATGATCTGGAAGTTTTCTGCAACCCCACTCCCAGTCACTCCATTGTATCTATTATTCAGTCGTGCAGCCACCTCGACCTGGGCCCTGGTGTATCTGGTACCCTTGACGCCACTGCCCTACGAATACCTTTTATCATCACTCTTCACAGATTACCACAGTTCCCCCACTGATTCCTCTGGAACACACTCAAGGAATTCCCTTTCCCTTGCCCAATCTTCCCACTCAGTGTGACCCCAGGGCCCACTCTCACCCCACACCCACTTGTTCTCCACACCTGACCCCTGCCCTGAGCCCCCCACCCCATCATCACCCCCACCGTCATCTCCGACAACTTGCTGTCAGGACCCCATAACTTGCCACAATTCCTCATTGATCTATCCCATCCCTGCTGTTGCCTGGTATCCCCACCACTTGGGAACAGAGACCCTGCAGGCTGCCCAGCCGAGATCCCCAGACTACTCCCCACCCCTTCTCACCTGGTCACCCCTGAGCGCCCTGGGTCCCCAGGACCCTTCCTCATCTCATCTCAGGGTCTCCAGGGACTGCCCCTACCCCGTATCCCACTGCTGGCTTACCCACAGCCACAACCTGCAGTGCTGTCAGCAGGAGGAACATTCTGGGGGCTGGGGGCCGGGGGCTGCCAACTGCAGAGAGGACGTGAGAGAGGAAGAAGCGGACACCCCGAGGCTAAGGGGCAGAGACAGAGAGAGCTGCTCACAGAGAGACCGAGACCCTCGGGGACAGGCCCGAGTCTGGGTGTATGGAGGAAGTGGGGTGATGTCTTGCTTCCCTGTCACTCCGTAGAGGCCTTTTATCCCTGATGCAGGCAGCTGGCCCTGCCCCCCGCCCTTGTGACATTTCTTTTATTGCCTGGTTCCCATTCCAGGGCTCCCTGGTCCTATCTCCTCCCTCCCTTCTCTGGCCAGAAAAGCAGCCACAGTCATTAATGAGAACACGCCCACCGGGCAGCGGTGAAGTGTTATAATCTGGGAGGAACCCAGGGAGGAGGAGGACCCCAGGGCAGGGTGGGCAGGGTGGGGGGCTCCGGGGAGGAAGGTGGGAGGGGTTGGCAAGGAGAGGGACCGAGGCAAGGCTGGGGAACAGAAGAGAAGGAATCCAGAAAGGTGGGGAGACAGAGCCAGGGGAAGCGAGACACAAGCCAGGGAGATGGAGCCGGAAAAGGAGGCGGAGGCGGGGACAGAGGGGCGGGTGGGAGGAGAGAGGATGGGGCAGGGGAGGCCCCTAGACAGAGGCCATGGAGAGGTGGGTGTGGAAAAGGGGAGAGGAGCAGAAAAGCAGGGAAGACGATGAGGACAGCATAGAAACAGACATAAATAAGGAGACAAAGGTGATAGGGAGGAAGGAGGAAGGGCGCCCCCTTTCCCTGCACCCCCAGTAATGGCGGTGATGGTGGAAAGAGGGGGAGGTACAGTGGGGGAGGGAGACAAGGCGAAAGGTGGGGAGACAGGGAGCAATGGATGCAAGATGGGTGCTGGGGGCACGGAGAGGAGACTGAGAAGGGGAGGCTGGGAGGCACGCTGGAGGGAGCCGGCGTCAGAGGGGGCAGAGGACAAGGATGGGCTGGGAAGCCAGCAGGAGAGGGGTGGCGGGCAGGCGCCTGGCAGTGGCAGTCCCGGGCCCCTGCCCCTTCTCCCTCTGTGGGCCCCCAGTCCTGGCAGGGGGGTGGGGGCCAGTGCAGAACCGATGTCCCCTGACTCTGGCTCTGCGGAGGGGTGGGGAGAGGAGGCTACAGAGACAGAGAAGAGGTGGAGACCCAGAGAGAGGGGGATAGGGACCCAGAGGGCAGGGGATGGAGACCTAGAGAAAGCAGAAGAGGGCCTGGGGCCGGGAAAGGGTTCCAGGCAAACAGAGGAAAGGCCCAGGTTTGGGGGACTCATCCTAACTTGGGGCAGGGCCTGCCGCCCTCAGCCCCTCCCCCAGCCTCTTAAATTCCCTAATGACTGCAATTTGTCCCTGGGCCGGGGCCGATCCGGACCCCCACGCGGTGACTCAGGAGGCCGCCTCTCTGCCCTGTCCGCCCCTCGCCGCCTCCAGGCTGGCTCCCAGACCACTCTCCTCTCCTGCGCCTGGGCTGCCGGTTTGAGCCCAAGGCCTCGGCCTAGGCCCTGCTAAGGCATAAGGCAAGAAGCACGGGGGGAAGGCTGTCTGTGAAGACAGGGCTCTCTGGGACCTGGGGGGTGGGACCGCCTGGGGAGATGCTCTGGGAGGGACCCGTCCTGGGTCTGGACGTTACTGTGGTTACACAGATCTACGCACAGGATACAACTGCATAGAAACGCACACGCACACACGTACACACGAGCACAGAGGCAAATGGAGGCCTGTCAGCGACGCACACGGAATACAGCGTGTAGTCTGGCAGGCAGCTTGGCGGCCTCGCCCGTTTTCCTGGTCTGACATCGGCCTGCAGGTGTCTAGGATGGCCCCACTGGGGAGGCTGGGTGAAAGGCACTGGGGCTCTGTGTTCGTGAAACTTTCTGAGGGTCTATAATTATCTAAAAATAAAGAACTAACAGCAAAACAGAATTTCCTGGGAAACTCTAGCCCCCAGCTGTATTTGAGCAGAAAGCTATGATTTGAAGGACTCAAGGCACCTCCACTGAGCTGGAGGGCCTCATTCCCCTAGCAGGACACTCCACGTAGGCAGAAGGCCTCGGTGAACCCGAGGGGCCCAGTGAACGCTGGGATGGGAGACAAAGCAGTCTCGGGTTGCTGCCCTCCTGTCCTGTCCTAGCCCCTAGCCCCTAGCCCAGCAGGACCAAGGCCAGGCTGTCCAGCCCTTCCCACCAGGCCCAGAACTCTGGGCTGCCTTGCTCAGCACTCCACCCTGCACCCCCACCCCCTGCTCCGTGCAGGGTTGTTTTTTTGCCATGACATGGGTGCTCAAAAATATTTAATGAATCAATGAGCACACGGCCACAGTCCTGCCTTCAAAGAACTCATGGTCTGGCCAGGAAGGCCAAGGGGCAACAGGAAACAGTCTGGTGTGCTGCATGCTACGACAGGGGACATTGAAGGGCCTGGTGGAGCCCCAGGAGTGGGGAAAGGGTTCCTGGAGGGTGGGCTGTCTAAGCTGAGGCCTGCAGGACAGGAGTCCACCGAGGGTGGGGGGATGGACAGAGTGTGGGGTGGGTAGCTCGGAGTAGAGCCCTCCGGGCAGGGGATGTTGACAGAGCTCAGAGAGCCTGAGGGAGAGGCGGCCAGGAGAAGCCGGGGCTCCAGGGTGGAGAGGAGCCCTTCGGGTCCTCACTGGAGACCCAGGTCTGGAGCTCAGGAGGACTGCCTGCTTAGAGACAGCAGTGGGCTGTTATCAGCACCGATGGCGTCCGAAGGCAGAGACTGTTAGAGGGTGCGAGCAGGGGCATCGGCCAGTTCCCCACGGAGGACCCCGTGCTGAGGAGGGCTGCTGGGAGGGGGCGACGGAGGGGCCAGGAAGACCAGCAGAACGCGGAGTGGGAGGTGGCCATGAAGTAGGAGGAGGATGTGGCCCGGCGTCCACACCGGGGGCCGCCCCTGGGAAGAGAGGCGGAGGGGAGGGGGGGGGGACGGAGCGGTGGGGACCACCGCCCTTACACCTGGGAGGGGAGAGAAACGTTGGCCGGCAAGGAGAGAGGGAGGGACAAACAGCTGCCGTTTCTTGAGGGCACGGCACGGCCAGGCTGGGGACCAGGTGCTTCTTTATGCTTTCCGTTTTAATGTCCGAAACTTGAAAAGAAATGTATTTGCTCTTTTACCGTGATAAAATATAACGGAGCCTTAAAGTTACCAGGTAAATAATTTCTAAGCGTCCAGGACGGTGGCATCAGGTACATTTGCGTGGATGTGCAGCCACCCCCATCCATCTCCAAGGTTTCTTATCTTCCCCAACTGAAACCCTGTCCTCGTTAAACCCCAGCTCCCCAGCCTCCTGGCCCAGCCTCTGGTCGCCTCCATTCTGCTTCCTGTCTCCCCGGATTTGATCACTCTAGGGACCTCACATAGTGAATCGCACAGTAATCGTCTTTTTGTGTCTGGCTTATTTCGGTCAGTATGATGCCCTCCGGTTTCACCTGCGCTGTAGCGTGTGTCAGAACGTCCTTCCTTTTTAAGCCTGGATCATGTTCCAGTGTAGCGATATGCTCCATGTTCTTGTTTTTGGTTTTTTTTTTGTATCATTAATATAAAATCACATGAGCAACATTGTGGTTACTAGATTCCCCCCATTATCAAGTCCCCACCACATAGCCCATTACAGTCACTGTCCATCAGCGCAGTAAGATGCTATGGAGTCAGTACTTGTCTTCTCTGTGCTGTCCTGCCTTCCCCGTGCAGCCGCCTATGTTATGCGTGCTAATCGTAATGCCCCTTATCCCCCTTGTCCCTCCCTTCCCACCCACCCTCACAGTGTCCTTCCCTTTGGCAACTGTTAGTCCATTCTTGGGTTCTGTGAGTCTGCTGCTGTTTTGTTCCTTTAGTTTTTGTTTTGTTCTTAGGCTCCATAGATGAGTGAAATCTTTGGTATTTGTCTTTCTCTGTCTGGTTTATTTCACTAAGCATAATACCCTCCAGCTCCATCCACGTTGCTGCAAATGGTAGGATTTGTTTCTTTCTTATGGTTAAATAGTATTCCACTGTGTATATGTACCACATCTGCTTTATGCATTCATCTACTGATGGATGCCCCATGTTTTTTACCCAGGGAACTCCTCTATGTGGGTTAGAGTCTTTCCTTTCTCCCTCCCACCTTTCAACAAACACTTATTGTGCACCTACTATGTATCAGTCACGGTTCCAAGCACTGAGGATACAGCGATGAACAAAATCAACAGAAATGCCTACATCCTGGAAGGGGAGGCAATCCAGACAAAGAAAGTTAAATCCATACAATAGATAACATTCCAAGTTACCAGTGCTATGAAAAATAATACTAAAAAAACTCTGGAGTGTAGGGTCAGGGGGGCCTGAGCGAGGTGACCTTTGATGGAAAGCCTGAAGGTAGTCGAGGATCTCGAGAAGACTGTTCCAGATGGAGTGAGCAGCAGGGGCAGAGGTCCTGCGGTGTGTCGGGACCAGAGAGGGGGCCGGTGTGGCTGGCTCCCGGCGGCTGGGGGTACAGCACAGTCATGGCAAGTCCCGACTCCATGGGATATGTATTATTTCGAACCCATTGTACAGACTGGGAAACTGAGGTCGAGACAGGGCAGCGGCTTGTCCGAGGCCATGCAGCTGCCAAGTGCAGGAGGAGCGTGTGAACTCCGGGACCATCGGAATCTTCTATCGCCTCGCAGGTGATTCCACCGGAGCGCTGGCTTCAGTGTCTGACACGGTTTAACACATTTTTCACGAATTGCCTCACTGAACCCATCCCATGGTGCCGTGAGAAAGGTGCTCCTATTAGTGTCAGGGTACAGATGAGAGAGACACTCGCCCGCCCAAGGTTACCCAACGCAGAGCCCTGGCGTCAGGATTCGAACCCAGGCGAAGGGCTCCCAGCACCGCCGCCCAAGAACAAAGGGCTGGTGGCGCAACCGCGGAGCGATGGGATTAGCTCCAGACAAGAGAAAGACGCCTCTTCCTTTGTTCCAGGAAGGAAGAAGGAAGGGCGGGTGAGGTTTCGGGTGGGGTGTGGGTCAGGTGGCAGGAAGCGGAGGAAGGGCCGGAGACCCAGGCCATCTCATCCCCGGCACGTGCGCAGGTGGGGCTGGAGAGTCAGGACAGTGGAGAAGGTGCCCAGGGCAAGTGGGCCACGAGGCATTTACAGAGGCGTCAGCTGGGCCGTCGGGTGCGTTTGTTTTTGTTTTGTTTTCCTCCAGCAAAGAGCAGGCCTGGTAGGGCTGGGATGGAGGGATGTTGAGACACAAGGAGCCTAGGACGCTGGGGGCACAGTGGGGTTAGGAGGCAGGCTTGGCGGGGAGGAAGTACAGACGGGAGGGCGTATTGCGGTGGGGAGGCTTCCTGAGGGGGTCAGGGTGTCTGTCAGGTGGAAAAACAGGTATGGCAGAAGCACCCACAGCTCTGGAAGCTCAGGAGCCTGTGGTCAAGGAGTGGGGTGTGGGGGCCTGTGGTTTCAGAGGTGGGCCATTCCGGATGGAGGTGGGGGCCTGGGTGCGACTGTGGGAATGGTCCTGGGGGTGACGGTCTCTGGCCCATGGAGGCTGGGGGGCTGTAAAGGAAGGGGGTCCTCTTTCCCCAGGGCTCCTGAGTCCCTGAGTCATTGAATGTCTGACTCCCCTTAAAATAAAAGTTGGGCAGGTTACAAACATCAAAACATGTAATCCTCACATGAGCTTTATGATGTTAGAGACTCATTAGCACCACACCACAGGTGGGCAAACAGGGTCAAGTGGCCCGGCCAGGATCAGAACCCAGGTCCTCTAACTGTTAAGCCCCACGCCACTCGGTCTCCAAATCAGCTTCCACATCATGCAGGAGCTCTCTGCTGGGCCCCCTTTCCCAGGAGAAGCCCCGTGTGAGAGCATGCGCTTTGACTGGGGGGTGGCCGACGGACTCACCTCTGTCTTGCTGGGTCTCTGAGCCAACAGGTGCCCTGGTTGGCAATTTTTCTAGTACCTTCCCTTCTGTGTGCCTTGTATCACTTAATTTCCCCATTGGCTCTGTGAGGTGCACACAAGCCTTTCCATTGTGCAGATGAGGAAACCGGGAGCGATCAGGTCAGCTGCCCAGCACTGTCTGGTGAGCAAATGGAAAGCTGGGATTCGAACCCCATCCAGTCTGACTCGATGCACCTCTGCTGCTGATCTCGTGGGTCACTCCGGTTACACACACTCTCTGGGTAATCTGTCAGACGTGTCTGAGTCAGCACCTGTATCTGTTACCCGCCAGGTGGCCTCTGTGTGCACCCCTGGGCGCCCCCGATGCCGGGTCAACAGCCAGTAAACACTTCTGCCCCATCTCCCTCCATCTTGATTAATTCCTCTGATTTCTGCTTGGTAGTGGGAGAAGGTGGGCCTGCCCTCACCTCCGCTGAGGCTTCTCTTCTTAGTGAATGATGCCATCCTCTCCCTTGGTCCCTCCCGTGCTCCCCCCTCTCACTTTGGCAATTCCTGGCACCTTGGTGCCAAAACTGACGCCAGATCCACCCCTTCCTCCCTCCCTCCCACCCTCATCTCTCACCTGGACAGGCGCCACAGCACCCGGACTCCCCTGCTTCCACGTGTGAGCCCTGTTCCCATTTCCCCTCCGCCCCCACCCCGTGCCAAGTCCATTCTCCACTTGGCAGCCAATGTGTTCTTGAAACATAAAACAGTATCATGTTAAAGCCTGCTTAAAACCCATCTACGATTTCCCTCTGCAATTACAATAAAACCTAAACACCTCCAAGGCTCTCCGTGTGCGACTTACGTGTTTCTCCGGCCTCATCACTCCAGTGTGCGCTGGGCCTCAGCCCCGCCAGGACCTCTCTCATTTTCTGGACCTGGCAGGTGTCTTCCCACCCGGGGCTTGTCTTCGCTGTGGCTTCTGCCTGGGACACCCTTCCTGCCACCCTGCTCACGACCACCTTCTCTGGACAACACATTCCCTTCCAGTTTCTATCTCAGCCTTATTTCAGTCTGTAGTTGCTTTTGGTGTTTGTTTCCTTGTGTATTGTTTGTTTTTCCCTCTAAGGCATTTATCACCATCCGATGTCCCTCGTGTTTTATTTGCTTTCTTTCACATGGACAGTCTGTCCCCCACAACCTGAGTGCCCACTCTGACAGGGCAGGGGGTTTGGCCTGCCTTATCTGCTTCTGTGCCCTGGCACACAGTGGCGGCTCAGTAAACATTCATGGACTGAAGAAATGTCTCTCTCACTCCAACCGATGCTTCAGCAGGGCAGGGACCGTGTCTGGTATGTTCACTGCTGAATCCCTGGAGCCCGCTCTGGGACCAGGCAGGTGGCAGGGGATGTATGAAATGGGCTGAGTATTCTCACAGAGCTTCGCTCCAGAAGCTCTGCACCCAGTGTGCCTACCTCTTCACACAGTAGTCTTCAGTTACGTGGCCCTGGGAGAGCAAACAGCCCAAGTTGGGGATGCCCATCCTCTGAGCCTGGGCTCCAAATCCCTGTAGTGGAGAATGCTTCTGACTCCCGGGGACGGGGATTTCTGCCTCATCAGCCCTGCCCTCCTGCCCCCAGACCCACTGCCACAGTCAGTAGGAATAAACAGACCACGGTCCTCAGCAAAAGCTCCCCCTACCCCCATGGAGACAAGGGTTTCCTGCCGAGGAAGTACTTCTGGACTGTCCTCTGCACTTACTAGGGCTTTCTCCCTCAGCAGATGACCCTCCCGTCTTAGGTGGCCATTGCCTAAGTGGCAAACATCTTGAATTCTGCACAGTATGTTTGGGAGAGAGTCTCTTGTGGGGGGGGGGGGGTCTATGCATGAACTCTGAGGCTTACAAAACACACCCGATTTTAGTAGGATTTCAGCCCTTAGTGCTTCTAAAACAGCCCCCATCTGTTCCCACCATCCCTACCTCTTAGCCACTGCCTGTTTTGGCTTCTCCCTGGCCAACTGGCCTAGAATTTCTCCTCCTGCAGTCCTGGGACCACGGCTCCCAAAGGCTCTTTCTGACCCTCGGAGCAGGCCCTGTCTGCTACGCCGTCAGTCCGGCAGGAAGTCCGCCTGGCGCAGGGCACGCTGACCCTTCTCGGGCACCCGCCACCGCGCCAGCTCCTCCCTGTCCTGCCCCAAAGCAGGCGGCCTGCACAGGTTCACAGGCTTCCTTGCCTGCGGGCCTTTGCACTTGCTCCTCTCGGTCTGCCGCCCTTGTCCCCTTCCCACCCCTTTCCCGGGCTCATTCTTACTCATCTTCTGGGTCCCGGTTTAAACACTACCTCGTTCAGAAAGCATTCTGTGACGCCCCACGCTGAGCCAGGTGCCCCACCTCTGGGCTCCCCTGTGCCCTTACTAACCCCACTGTGGGACGTGTTCCTCTGGGCCTTGACTTGCCAGTGTCCATGCCTGCCTCCCCACCAGACAGGGAGCCTGTTGAGGGAAGGGACTGTCGCTGACTAAGCGGCGTTTCCTCACTGCTCCTGGGAGGCCCAGCAAGTGTCTGCTGTGTGAACAGAGAAGATCACTAACTATCACTCTGCTCAAGTCTCTGCGGCTTTCATCTCAAGGCCAAAGCTAAGCCTGTCATCTGGTCCCTCCGACCTCTCTCCCCTACTCACCCCTCCCCCTCACACCCCTGGTCTTCTGCCAGCAAAGCTCTAATGTCACCTTCTTCTCCGGGATTTCCCCATCTACCCCAGTGTTTTGTGCTGGGCTCAGTGTTGTGTTCGGACCAGCCCTGTGGTTCTTATTATGACTGTAAGATGTTCTCAGCAACCAGCAGGAAACTTGGAAAAAAATAGAAGTTTATTACCTACAGGACCTGGAGAATACAGAGCATGTCTGCAGCTAACCTGGAGAATACAAAGCATGTCTGTAGCCACACAGTGAGGTCAGGGTCGGGGGTGATGATGGGGTATGTACGGGGCTAGAATTCTGCTTTTACTGGGGTCAGGGATGGGGGCCTAGGGTTTCACAGGCTCACTCTAGTGGTGAATAAAATAAACAAAATAAAACGTCGTTGCAGAAACTGAAAGTCCAGGGGCAAAAAGAACAAGTGGCCCAAAAGGTCTGTTACCGAAGTCAGCCAGGATCTCTAAAGCAAAGGAACCTCTGTTCCGGGAGGCAGCCGGCTTTTTACCTGGTCGTGTGGCTGGCAAGATGCTTACTGAGATGGCCCTTTTTAGAGTCGGCTTCCCTGATCAAAGCTCAAGTCAGGTGCTGGCTTTACAAAAAGAGAAAACCCAATTGCCAGGGCTTACACCACACCCACTGAAGTGTGACGTGCGCCATTCTCTGGTTTATCACCCTCTGACATATATTCTATTTATTTTCCTTTCGTGGCCTCTCCCTTGAAGGCAGGTTTTTGTTTTGTCCACTACTGTCAGTAATCAAGTGCTCACTAAGTATTTATGGAATGAATACAACAGGTCTTGAGGTAAAGGAAGGCCTCCAGTGTTCACATGGGGCCTTAAGATTTCTGCCGACTGTGTCTAGCCCGTGGGGTCTAGCTCTGGGCACGGGGACCAGGGAGGAGGTGGCTGGAGAAAGCAGGGCCCCATCTGAGCCACAGACCTTGTTTGCCCGCAGTGGCTGCTGGATGCTCAGGCGTGGGCACAGTGACCCCATGTGGCCAGGGCTGAGAACAGCACCTTCCCCAGCTCTCAGGTGGGGCCCACATGTCACACAGGTCATTGAACTGCCGTTTAGTCTGAATCCAGATGGACAGTAAGTGTAACATTACACACTGGATTTCAAAAACTTAGTACAAAAGATAGTAAAAGATCTCAAAGTTTTAAAATATTCACTACATGTTAAAATCGTATTTTGGATATAGTGGGTCAAATATTAAATTTTCACCTATTACTACCCCTCCTTTTAAAAAATACGGCTATTAGAAAAATTTATTTACACATACGGTTCACATTATATTTCTATTGGATAGTGTTGAGCCACGAGAGAAACTGATGTACCCACCCACCTCCTGGCGTGGTGGGAGAAACTTGGTTGAAAGGAAGGGAAAAGGCCCAGTGCCAAAGCCACACGATGGGCGAATCCCATGCAACCACGTGGTTGATGTGCTGCGAGTCCCTGGTCCCCTGGTGTCCAGCAGGAGGCACAGGAAAGCCGATTTGCAGCTGGGGGACCTTGGGCAAGCCCCTTCACCTCTGAGCTGCCAAGTTCTGGCTTTGTAAAACTGGAGCTCAAAACCCAGCCCGCCGCACTACTGAGCAGATGAGGGAGTGGTGCCCACGGTGCCAGGCACACGAGCCCCCAGTTGGCCTTGATCACGGTGCGCCCCCTGCCGATTCTCCTCCCTGAAGCTGGAGTGATTTTTAGAAAATGGAAATCAGATCTTGACCTCTTCTGGCCAGAAGGCCCTACCACCACTCTTAGAATAAACCCAAGTCCTTCCCCCCTCTGCAAGACCCTGCATGGCCTGCTCCGGCCCACCACCACATTTGTCTCTTGCTATTCTTCCTGCCCACTCTGCTCTGGACACTCTTCCTTGCTGTTCCCCGGATTTAGCAAGCTTATTCCTTTTGCATGGGCAGTTCCCTCCCTGTGGGATAAGGTCTTCTCCAAGGTAAGTTTTATGATTTGTTCCTTTGCTCTATTCAGGTCTCTGCTCAAATGCCACCTCCTCAAAGAGGCCTTGCACTGACCCCTGTGGAAACTGGCTCTTGCTATCTCCCTCTCCTTATCCTGCTTTATTTTTGTTGCATTAATCACCACTTGGCCTTTGCTCACTGCAGTATTCCTAGCACGGTGTGGAAATCCTAGCACCTGGCACATGGGTCACAGCCGTGCTCAGTAAGCATTTGCTGCATGAATAATTAACTGGATGCTCAATTAACTCTTGGGGGAGGCAGGGCATATGGTCTCTGCCTCCAGCCCAACCTAATTAGGAAGTATGAGACCCAAAGAGTGCAGCTGGCCACACTAGGACAGGACACAGGGGCTGGGGCTTGGGGGACTCCTGTGTCCTGGGATGGGCAGGGTGGGAGGAGGGCATCAAGAAGGCTTCTGGAAGGACCCTGGAAGATTTTGGGAAACGGAGGGCATTCCTGACAAGAGGCCGACCCAGCAAAGCTTGGAGGTGGGACTGAGAACACCAAGGGGTCAGGCAGGCAGCTTCTGGGCCTCACACCTTCCAGGGCAGGGAGGACAGCACCCCTGAAACTCAGGGCCCCCTGGTGGCTCAGTCTTACTAGGAACAATGACATAGGCCCCCATATATTGAGCGCTTTATCAAGAACAACTGCTTAGATGGGGGGCTCTGATCCCATTTTCTGAGGAGGAAAAGTCACTGACCCAGGCTCACCCAGCCGTGCCTACAGGATCCGAGTCTTGCGGAGCCACCAGCTGCTCCCCACCCGTCACACAGACACCAGGGGAGATCAGGTGGGGGCAGGGGGTAGGGGGCCAATCCACTGTCTTGAAAAGCCTGATGGGTGCAACCCCCCAGTCCAGACACTCTCCAGCAAGGTGGCCTCGGGCTAGTCAGGGAACCTCAGCAGAGCCAACGAGGTCGCGGTGAGCCTGAAACCAGCCGGTGGCGGCGCAGACTCCAAGGGAAGCATCGTGGTCGGTCAATGCCTCAGGTCACGGATTCTGCTTACCCCACTGCAGGAAAACATGACACCAGGCACACAGCAGGCGCCCGGGAAGGGTGAGGTCCATCCTAGCAGCCGAGAACACCGCAGAGGGGCTGGACAAGCAGCCCCCTGGTTCCCACTGGATCCGGGATGGAAAACTGTTCGGGCCCCTCCTCTCTGGGGCGCAGGGCTCCAGCCGCAGCCGCCTCCTCCCTGGCCTCAGCGGGGGCGCCCCCGGCTTCCGCGGGGGCGCCCCCGGCTTCCGCGGGGCCACAGGGAACCGGCTCCGTCCGCCAGCATCGCCCGCAGCCCGGCGCAGGGAACTGTTTACTCGCCGCCCTGCTCTGCACCCGCGGCAGGGCCCGCGTCTCTGGGCGGCGGTGCCGCCTCGTCCAGGCCCCGGCGGCCCTTGCCGATGGCCAGGCGGGGCCGGCCGCGGGCCAGGCCGTCCAGCAGCGCGCAGGCCTGGCAGAGCGCGCGACTGGCCAGCGCCCCGCAGCGGGAGCAGGCGCCAGGGGCCGGGGGCCGCGCGGACGGGGCCAGCGCCAGGCGCTCGGCCGAGTGCACCAGGTCCAGCGCCGCCGACGGCCGCGCCGCCTCCAGCAGCTTGAGCAGCTCGCGCGCGTGGCCGCGGAAGGCCTCGGGCGCGTACACGCACTCCTCGGAGAAGTAGTCGAGGCGGCGGAAGTGCGCGTACAGCACCACCTCCTTCTGCGAGGCCAGCTGCAGCGGGCGGCAGCGCGGCAGGGCGCCCCCTTCGCCCCGCGAGCCCAGGCCTCCGCCCCGGGCCAGGCGGCCCGCGTCGCCGCGCAGGAAGTTCATGAGCACGGTCTCCGCCATGTCGTCCGCGTTGTGGCCTGCGGGGGAGAGGGGGGCTGGTGAGAAGGGGCACCGAGGCGCGGCTGGTCGTGGAGACCCCTGCCCACCAAAGCCAAGTGGGGCAGCCGGCCGGGGAGACGGGGAGGGGGCCTGGCGAGGGCCGCAGAAGGGACACCCGACCACGCAGCTCCCGGGTCGCCTGCGCAGCCGGCTCCAGGCTGAAGGTGGGCACAGCGGGAGAGGAGAGGGGAACACACACAGGACCCCACGGGGCAACCTGGGTGCCCTCCTCTGCCACCCACTCGCGGCAGCCCAGACCCTGTGCAGAGGGACGGAGCGCCTCGGCCACAAACACCATCTCCGTCGCAGCTGGAAGCGACCTCGGACTGCACAGACGCCAAACGGCCTGGGCCCCGCTCACCAGGAAACGCTTCCTTGATCCCCACCTCTCCCCCTGCTCTGGGTCCCCCTGTTTCCACCCCTGCTCTGGGCTCCTAGCTTGTGTCGGGCACGCAGTGAATGCCAGTGCCTTCGCTGAAGCGGCGACTGGGGGAGGGTGCGAGTTAGCGGCGCCGGAGGCGGGGGAGCTCAGACCGGACCACACACCCTCCCACCTCCTCCTGTGAAGGGAGACAGGATGTGGCGCTTGAAAAACTGCAGAGACCCCCCAGCCCAGGCCCTGGAGTGTGGCCCCCATCCCTCTACCTGCCAGGGCGTGTGGGCCAAGATAAAGCGGCGACTCAAAAGCGTGTCAAGCCCAACCCGCGACGGGCGCCGGGGACTTCAGGGGGCACGCAGAGCCCCTGCTCTTCACCGGGCTCCCCCAGCCCCCCCTCTGCCTCTCGGGCACACGCCCCGCCGCGCCCGCGCTCACCCGTCACGATGTGCGTGGCTCCCACGAGGCGCGCCCCCTCCTCCAGCGCGCGGCGGCGCAGCACCCCGCAGAAGGTGCAGCAGGCGCGGCTGCGGCCGGAGCCGGCGGTGCTGCGGGCCACGGCGTCCATCGTCCAGCCGCCGAAGAGGTCTGCGTAGGCCACCACGGTGAGCGGGAGCTCCCAGCGCGCCGCCTGGCGCCGCACGGCCGCCAGCGCCGCGTCCCGGTAGCCGCCGATGCCCTCGTCCACCGCCACCAGCTGCAGCGACACCCCCAGGCGCGGCGCCAGCGCGCGCAGCACGTGCGCCAGCACCGTGGAGTCCTTGCCGCCCGAGGCGCCCACGGCCACCACGGCGCCGGGCGGCAGCAGGCGGCCCGCCAGCACCGTGTGCAGCACCTCGGCCTCGAAGGCGGTGCAGAAGCAGGCGCCGCACAGGGCTTGACCGGAGCGCGGGCGGCGGAGGGCGGCGCGGGCCGCGTGGCAGGAGGCGCACTGCGGGGCGGGCATCGCGTGGGCCGGGCGGGCGGGCTTCTCCTGGATGGGGAGAGAGGGCAGGCGGGTTACCTGTGGACTTACGGTTGTGAGGTCGTTGCCTCGGGGAAGGCTGCCTGCGTAGCGCCTCTGCAAGAAATTGAGCCAGAGGCAGGCTTGTGCTGGTGAAGTAGGCTTCATCAGGGGTGTGTGGGGTTATACATATATATATTCCGGTGTAAGGAGTCTGCTGTCTTCAGGAAGCCTTCTTGGATTACACCCTTTATGCACCAATAAGAGAACGAGCCCAAGAACTGGTTTGTGTGTGTGTGTGTGTGTGTGGAGGGTATTTAGAGAGGGAGAGACAAGCAGATTATACCCAGAATTAAGTTAGGTTGCTCAGGCCAGAAGCCTTGGGGTTCAGGGCCCTGGGCTGCTTTCTCTCATCACTCATCTCACCTGCCTCCGGGTGACCCCCGAGTGCAGTGTCCCGTCCTGACCTGTCCTCCAGGGAGGATGCCATGAGGATGCCCCTGGCATCCTCAGACCCCCCCAAGTGCCAAATCCTGACTGTAGTTTCAAAACAGATTCAGAAGCTAACACTTCCTACCATCTTTGCGGCTGCCACCCTCGCCTGAGCCACCAACTTTCTCATGGAATATCAGCCGGAGCTCCTCACTGGTCTCTCTGCCTCACCCTCCTGCCCCCGACACAGTTCTCCCGGGAACAGCCAGTGGCATCCGGCCCAGAGTCACCTCTGCACCCTCCCATGCAACTGATCCCACTTTAGGAAAAGCTAGCGGCCTGTGAGGCCCTGTGCGATCCTGCCCCCGTTTCCTCTGACCTCATCTCCCGCTTTCCTTCCACTTTGCTGGCCTCTGCTCTCAAACCCCAGGGCACACCGACCTCAGGGTGTTCGCACTGGCTCTTCCCTCTGCTCTGAGTCCTCTTCCCCGTCACTGGGCCGCAAGCAGCTCTCAGCATCATCGACGATGCCCGCCCTTGAGATCTTTTCTCCTCTGGCTTTTGACTTGAATTCCCACCCCTGCTCCCCACCACCAAGCTGCTGTCCTGGTTTTTCTCCTGCTGGGTCTCCATCCTCTTGGAGACCCCTCTTTGTGGTCCTCGGTCCTGCCCAGCCCGTTCTCCTTGTGGGTGATTGAATTGTGATGTCCATCAGGATGGTCCTCAAATGTCCTTCCTGAGGATCCCAACTAGACATTCTCTCAGCTCCCAAATGCCCAAACTGACCAGCTACACTTCCCCAGGCAGAAACCTGTTCTTGCCCAGCTGTTTCCTGTCTCCTCAGAGCACCAACACCTTCCCCGTAGCTCCTCCACAGGACAGGACACAAAGGCACCCTGGATCATCTCTCCTCCCACCCTGATTCAGCCATCACCCAATCCCGGGAGTCTGCCTCCTGAAGGAGGAAGGCCTGGCAGAAGATGAGTCTGTGCAGGTTGTCAGAAACTCTCAGGCCATGATAGGGAGTTTGAATTTTATTCAGACAGAGATGGGAGCCATGGGACGGTTTTGAGCAGAGAAGGGATATGATCTGATTTAAATTTCAAAAGGATCCCTTTGGCTGCTGCGTAGGGAACATACTGTAGGGGATAAGGATGGACGCAGGCAGACACGAGGAGACTGTGGCAATAATTAGTGAGTGAAGACGGTGGCCTGGACGGGCGTGGTGGCAGTGGAACTGGGAAGAAACGGTGGAATTTTCGATCTATTTTGGAGGGAGAGTCCATAGGACTTGCATGACACTTGGATTTGGAGGGAAGGTGAGCTGATTAGAAAAGGGGATTGAAGAGTAACTTGGAGGTTTTGGCCAGAGCACCCGGAGGATGGTGGGGCCATTTTATCAAAGGGGATGACCAGGAATTCCTTTTGACATGTCAGGTTTGAAATGCCTGTTAGGCATCCTCCCTTCGAACACTTTAGGGACCTCAGCCCGGGCCAGGGGCCTTCTCTGGGCTGGTAGAACTGCTGGTAAGCCTCCATCCCAGGCTGACCACGGCTCTACCTGTCATGGTAACAGGCCTGTCTCCTCCGCTGTACTGTGAGCACGCTAAAAGGCAGGGCCGTTAGCCAAGTCCGCCTCGTCCAGCACTGTGTCCCCTCGCGACCTCGCACAGGGTTTGGCACTCAGTAACTGTAGGTTGAGGGAATAATAAATGGGTTCAGACGCGGACCCCAGGGATGCCTTCGGACTGCAGTCTTGTCAGGATGACTGTATGGGATCTATCAGGCCAGAGGGTCTAGGCGCAGGGGCCTCCCGGACGTATTTAACTGAGGGGGCGGGGGGGGCAGGGAGACGGTGGAATCTCGACCTGGGGGAGGGGGTGGGCGGGCAAGAGACAGGCCGGATCGCAGGGTCCACAGCGGGGATCCTGGCCTAAAGGCCGTTGGGACACAGGCATTAGGAAATCACGGAGGCCAGAGTCACCATCCCCCGGAGACGCTCAAACTTCACACGGCACCGCAACAAAGAGCGGGAACTCACGGGCCAACCCGCGGCGGGAGTACTCACCTGGGCAGAACGCGGTCCCAGGAGCTCCAAACTGCCGAACGTGCGGAAGCTCGGCACGGAAGTGGCTACAGAGACTACGACTCCCATAAGGTCTTGGAGCTGTCTTGCCTACGACTCCCAGAATCCCAAGCAGCTTCCCTTCCTGAAACCTCTGCGGCTACTGGGCCTGTTTGGCCTGCATCTCCCAGCAGTCTTCCGGTCCCTTCGATCACTGTACCTACCGCTTCCGAAATGCACTGCCCTGTTTCCTCGGGTTTGGGGTGCGGCCGAACCGTGTGTCCCTTTTCCTGCTGTGGTGGTGCCCTTGAAGTGGCTGTATTCTGGTTATCTGAGTTTGTGGGATTATCATAGACTTTAAAAGACAGAGCAAATGATTTTAACCCTTTAGGTTTGCGGGTGGGAATTGAAGGCGGAAGTGCGGAGGTTGGTAGAGTGTAAATGGAAGGAATAGCGCATGCGCAGCGCAGGGATTCCGAGGGCAATGCATCTACGCTTGCCCAGCAGGGATGGTAAAAGGGAGCCGAATGAGCTGAGTTCTTTGTTGCGTGTTAGCTGTCAGTTATTTGGGGGGGAGGTGAAGAGGAGTCTCTGCACGTGCGCCTGGCTCTGGGTCAGTGAGTGAGGCTGAGAGCCACTAAACAGGCCCCATCAGAACTGGGTACACACTTCCTTTCACGTGGGGGTGGAGCTCGAGGATGGAGGGCAGGTGAGAGAGGTATTGATAGGACTGGGAGCCCCTAGAGACCCCGACTTCCGAGACTGAGGGGTCCAAAGGCCCAGACCCCTGACACCCAGTAGTCCCAGGGCGCAGGGTCATAGAGACTCAGTTCCATGGGCCTGGAGGTCCAGATCCTCTTAGATGGAAGGGTCCAGAAATTTAAACCCTTCACTCCCAAACCAGAAGTCCAGAGGTGTGGCGATCCCAACCCCTGAGACCCAAGCAGCAGGGAGAACCAGGACTGCAGAGACAACTCTCCCCTACCCAAACCCAGGGACCTGGAGACTCCAGGCTCCCAAGGCCTTGGAGAGCTATGGGACTGCCCTGGGGGCCCCTGCTTTCCAGCCTGCACGGGTCTTGCTCCCTGTAGTGTCATTTACCTGCAGTCCTGAGGGGTCAGGTAGAAGAGTGCATGTCCCTCTGCCTCCATCATGTGGCTGTGTGCCAGGCCGCAGATGGTGCATCCCTGAGGGCCGTGCCTGTGGCTGGCAGCACTCACTCCCCACCCCTCCCAGTGCTCAGACTCGGGGGACTGAGAGCTGCCCTGGACAGACTCGGTGCAGAAGGGAGTTTACCTGCTAGGCTCGGCTCTGTCTGACACTGAGGAAGGGGATTTGATCTGTGAGTGTTTCTCCTGCAGGGTGCTCATGAAGTCCAGATTTTGTGCTAAGGTTAGCTCTCCCCCAACTGCCTTGTCTTTATTTGTATCCCCTCCTAGAAAGTAGGATCCTGTACTAGAGAACAGGTCTGCTTTGGTTCCCATGGCTGGAGGGGGCCCCAGGTAATTGTCTCTGTCCCAAGCTGATGGGCTCCAGGAAGGCCTAGGCCAGGTGGGTCTCAGCAAACTGTCCTGGCCCTCCTTGTTCTCCCCCAATCTGTCAGCCCTTCCTCAGGGCATAGAGGCCTCCGCCTCTGAACTCAGACGGAGGGAGCCGATGCGGGCCAAGGGAGAAGGAGGTGAACCAGCCTGCACCCTGGAAGGAGGGGACAGGGCCTGTTAGCTCACTCTTGTCTCCATCTCATCAAGTCCTGGGAAACATCTCACCCACTCGTGCATTCCCAGGACGGAGAGCCTGATTCACAGCTGCTCTGGGTCAGGGGCAGCAACACTCCTGCTGGCTGAGCTGAAGCCCTACCCAGGCTGCTTCCTGATCCACATGCAGAGAGCCTGCCCTACGGAGAGGCCCTCTTGCAAGGAGCTGAGGGTGGCTTTCATCCAACTACCAGTGAAGAAGTTGAAATGATATCCGAGCTACAGCACAGAAGTGGCTACAGAGACTACGACTCGGGTTTGGGGTGCGGCCGAACCGTGTGTCCCTTTTCCTGCTGTGGTGGTGCCCTTGAAGTGGCTGTATTCTGGTTATCTGAGTTTGTGGGACCCTGAGCCACAGGATGCAGCTTAGCTCCAGTTCCAGACCCACAGAAACTGTGAGGCAGTAAATGTAATTTTAAGCCACTGAGTTGTGAGGTACTTGTGATGCGGCCGTAGATGACTAACGCACTGTTTGTACTGAGCTCTTGCTCCCTGATCTGAGCCCTGCAACTCTTTTTCCTTTGTCACACGTATGACTGGGTGGGTCTGTGACCTTCAGAGTCCTCAGAAAAGGAGTCCAGTATCTGAGGTCCCAGAATTCCTTATGGGAGAGGGCGACTCTGATTTTCATTATGGTAAATAGGATATGGGGTCCTGAGCCACAAAGGGAGGAGATGGGCGGGCCACGGATGGATCTGACCTTATCGTGCCCTTTTAGGGTCCAGAAGTTGAGATGCTCAGGGCCTGAGGCAGAGGCCGCTGTGATCATTACAGCCTGGCTGTCCCCTCTGGCACTCAGACCATCCCTCCCACCTCCACAGCCTTGATGCAGACACCTGCCATTGACATACTGCCATCCTAAGAATCCCCAGGAGCCTGGCCTGTGCCCGCCAGCGCCCTGTGAGAGTCCCCGGATGGCTCTCCCCAGATGTCTCACACACCTTTCTGACCATCCCAGTCTGATCTGAGCCCTAGACAAGTGCATTTGCTCCTTCTTGGGGATGAACCTCCTTCATTACCCAGATTAGGGTCCTGGGAATCCTATAGATGTCCCTGTCGCACACAGCACACCTTGTGAGTCAGTGAGTCTTACAAACCACCCTTTCTGAAAGCGGCTCAGTTTCCCTTCCTGACATTCCTAAGACCTCTGTCCTGGTGCAGGTTTTTCCTCATTCTCTGCTGCCTCCACCATCCCTCCAGCCTTCTCTCTGGCCACTCGGCCTCCACTTTCCTTCCCTCCCTGAAATCTTTCAAACATCACCCCAGATAGGTATTTTCTCACACTGAGAACCAACCATGTCCTCTCCTGTCCTTGACCCTGATGTGGTGTCCCACTGCCCTCCCCCGGGACCTGGCGTGATGACGTCATAGGCTGGACAGTGGACGCCACGTAACTACGCGTGGGGGACGGTGCCTGGCACGGAGTGGATAGTCAATCGACTTTCAAGAGTTAAGTGAAAGTCTGCTGGTTTTTCTAAGATCCAGATCTAAATATTATATTTGATAAGTACACATCATACCTAGGAGTATGAGAAATCATGAGAAGGAATTATGAGAAAACATATTTTAAAAAATTTCCTGAAGTGTATTAGTAAATAGGATTATGACTACTCACTTTTTACATAATTGCTTCCTGAAACTGGTGCCTCCCCTACCCCCCACCATGGGTTCCTGCCACTCCGTTTCTCAACCTTTCTGCGTAAGTCCCTATGCTATCCCGGAACCCTTCTGTTTTTAGGTCCCCACTGGCCCTGTTGCTCTCTTCAATCTTAGGCCCAATGGTCTTCCCCTGAGTCTCACTGTCCTGAAGTCCCTTAGGCCATTGGGACAGCCATACGTGCCGACAAATCTCTGAGGAAGAACTGCGACGCAGAGAGAAGCATAAGAGGACCACAGCCCACAGGGGACACGTCTGCTGGTCACCCAGTCCTTTCAGATGGACCCTACATTTCCGCTGCTCCAGGCTCTCTGGCTGCCTTCCTGGTCTGAGCCTGGGATCCTGTACTTGAGGGGTCAGACCCTCTCAGAGGCGGGCACTTTTTGAGTTCTGGAACCAACCCTATTTCAGCACCACAGACGCCACCACCCTGTTGCCTGGAACTTGCCAGGGCTGCCGTGGTCTTGGGAGGACAGGAACCCCCTTATGACTGAGCCACCTTCATTGCATCCCAGACAAATTGGTTCGGTCTGGAGTTCAGTGTGAGCTATCCTGTTCATACAGGATGGTCTGGAAGGAGGGGAGCGTTCACTATATCACGGCAAATAAAGGATCTGGGCAGACACCTTTTTCAAGTCATCACCCCTGGGAATTTGGCACCACCCACTCTGATGTGTGACCTTTTCTGGAAGTTGCATGACCATGGAAAGTCATCCAGCTCAGGGTCCTGTGAGTGTGGGACCAGGACCCCCAGGACACTGAGTGCAATAGGTGGTCCGTGGAGAATTTGGGGCTTGAGATACCGAGTGCCTAGCTTTTGGACACAAGACCAAGGACAGGGACAATAAGGATTTCAGGGTCCATATTTTTGCTGTCCTTGTGGCTCGAGAAGGAGGGAGAGCCAGCCCCTATTACACCCTTCACCACTGAAGAGACAGCTCCTAGGCTTAGTCACCAAGGAAGTGCAAATTAAACCCACAATGAAATTCTGCTAACCTCCGGGATGGTTGTACAGGAAAAAACAAAAACAAGTATAAAACACACCTGGAAATACCAAGTACTGGCCAGAATGGAAACAACTGGAACTCTCATGTACTCGTGATTGGAATGTAAATTTGTGACCACTGTGGAAAAATGGAAATAACTATTGAAACCAAATATGCACGTACCCTATTACTGAGAAATTCCACTCTAAGAAATACACCCAACACAAGCACATACCAAAAGACATGCTCATGGCAAGATTCTTCATAAGATTCTTCATAATAATTCCTGATTAGAAATAACCCAAATGTCTATCAAAAGTAGAAGGGTTGTATAGCATATGGCATGTGCACACTGTGGAATACTTTCAGCAGTAGGAATGAATTGCTGATACGCGGGTAACTCTCACAACAAAAGGTTGAGCATCTGAAGCCAGATGCTGGAAGATCGCAATTATAAAGAAGCCCCACTGATAAAGCGAATCAGTGATGGCAGAAGTCCTTGTAGTGGCTGCTTCAGGGGGAGGAGAGTAACTGGGAATGGGATTGGTGGGGCTTCTTGCTCCAGGAATCCAGAAACGTCATCCTTGTAAGAAAACTGATCAAGCTCATTTTTATAATCTGAACTGCTTTCTCTATGTATGCTTTGCTTCAATGCCTTTTGCTCTAAGAACAGGATAAGGGGCTACTTCACACAAACATCTGCTGGTTCATTTTAAAATGCAGATAATCCATAAAAATGGTAAGGAAACTATACCGAAACTGTCTCAAGAAGAAAGGAAAAACCCCAAAGCCCTGAATCCATAACGGAATTGATTCGGTAGGAAGCATCATTTTCCAGAGAAAAAATTCACCAGCAAGTCCTTCTGAATGCTCAATGCAGAAATAATCCCAGTATTCATAAACCCTGCCAAGTGTGAAAGACCCATCAGCCAGCATGACCTTTGGAGGTCTTTGGCTTTCTCCTGGCGTCACTGAGTCCTGCAGAGTACGGAAGCGGTAGTGGCTGATGTCCA